CGCCCCATCCCCTCCTTGCAGCCCCCCTCCCTCCTCCGGCGCAGTGGCCGACGAGTGCCATACCTGCATGAGCACCGCTTCGACGGTGGATCTCCCCACGACGAACTGGTTCACCACAGATCAGTAGCTATCCAGCGTGGAGTTCTTCCAGAGGGCGATGGCCACCCGCTTGTGGAGGGGAATGGTGGGCCTCATGCATGTGTCCCATTGCCGCAGAGCAGGGGCTAGCCACTTGCAGAGCTCCAGGAAGGTGCCCTTCTTCATCCTGAAGTTCTGGGTCCACTGTTGGTCTCCCCAGTGCTCCAGGACGATGTGGTCCCACCAGTTGCTTCTGGTATCCAGACGCCAGATGTGGTGTGGCACACTGGAATCCGGGCGCCGCTCCTCCAGGGCCCCCAGGACGGGCAGGGGGAAGGTCAAGGGGCTGGCCTGCAGCAGAAAGTGCCAGGCAGCCTCCAGCAATTGCTGCCAGGCTTGCAGCAAGATGTTCAACATGAGCACCAGAGTGCCCAGGGGCGGCTCTGGCTCCATGGTGCCGAGTGCTGCGGTGTCCCACATAAGAGCGAACGAAGCAGGTGAAGAGGAAAACGCTTTGCTGTCCCTCAGCGAGGTAGGCAAGCAAGCAGGAAAGCTGAGAACTGGCAATCCGAGGGGGTCCCTTTAAGCATGAGCCTCAGATAGCCTCAGACAGCAGCCACACGAAGCAACTACTGATCTGATGCCCTGCTGGAACCGGTTTCAGCTGCCCTTAAATGCGACCCAGCATCAAATCAGCGTGGACGCATTATTTCGAAATAGTAAAAAGCTATTTCGAATTAGTTTTTGTGTCTAGATGCGTTATTTCAAATTAGCTTATTTTGAATTAATTAATTTGAAATAAGTTAATTCGAAATAGCACTGTAGTGTAGACATACCCTATGTGTCTGCAGTGGTTACAGGTCCTCCCAAAGTAGCATCATTGCACATTTAATTAGCAGGATATTTATTCCCTTTTCTAGATTATAGAAGTCAGATTATTGCTGCGCGGATGAGGGTGCAGTTCATGCAGTAAGGACAAAAGGAGCCTTATTCCTTCATGTACTTCATGCTCCCTGCAAAAGGATTAGGGACAATTGTTAGGGGAAAATTTCTTTTCTTATTTTGATAATTTTTGTTTCATTTGGATGATGTTTGAACTGAACAGATACATGCTACACTGGTCAAATAACTATGAACGTGTGGCTACAATAGGTTGTTTTGACTTTCAGAAAGAATGATACATGTATTTCAACTTTTTAGTTCTTATATTCCCAAATGTTATCTTCCCTAGGACTGAAAGTCATTGTCGGTGCACTCCTCCAGTCCATTAAGAAACTTGCTGATGTGATGATCCTGACTGTTTTCTGCTTGAGTGTGTTTGCTCTCATAGGCCTCCAGCTGTTTAAGGGCAATTTGAAACATAAATGTGTCAGGAATTTTAATTCCACGAATGGAACTATTTATTTGGATGAAAAGAAATGGGGCTCCTTTGATGAGTTTATTCATGATTCAGGTAAGTTGTCTTCTTTTTTCTTTTTAAGATAGTTTATTTATTGGTGATAGTCAATATAGATATTCATACCTGAACTGCAAATTATGTTGAAAATACAGATGAACTTCTACCACAGAAAAAATGTTACCCTTTAAAATGCCAGAAAGGTTTGCAAAGGTCCAGGGATGATTTCAGCTATTGGTCCCACAATTCCTTTTTTTTCCCCAGCTAAACCATTACTGGAAGCTGTTTACAAAGTTTTCACTAATAGTCTTCTGTGCTTCTCAGGATGAAATGTGCATTAGCTCACTTTCTGACATAATTTCCAGAAGATTGGTCTTGTACAGTAAACTAAGCAGTTATACACATACAGTTTTCTGTCCATTTAAGAAGTCTGTAGATATCTATGTTTTGATGTGGACCATGAAGAGTACGTCTACACAGCAGCGTTATTTCGGAATAACGTCTGTTATTCTGAAATAACTATGTGAGCGTCTATACAGCTAGTCCGTTATTTCAAAATAATTTCAAAATAATGGGTGGCTTATTGCAGTGTTTGTAAACCTCATTCCATGAGGAATAATGCTTCTTTCAAAATAGCTATTTTGGAATAGCAGTAGTGTGGACGTTCCACTGCTGCTATTTCGAAATAGCTCCTCCCCCAGTACTTCCTGGGCTTCTAAATTGAGGTAGCTCATCCATATTAGAGGAACCTGCTTGGACCAATTTCCAGGCTTTCCTGTAGTGTCGATGCGCTATTTCAAAATAAGCTATTTTGGAGTATTTCTTCCAGAATAGCTTATTCCAAAATAATCGTGCAGTGTAGACATAGCTAAACTAAATGTTCAGCTAAAATGTGTGTTTTCCTTATAAATAAGCTGTATATCTCTTTTTTCCATATGTGTATCTTGAGTATAATTACTGCTGAAAAGATGGATGAGTAGAACAGATATCTGAAAACACAACACAGGATTGTTAGAGGAAAGAAAAAAATAGGTGCATCAATGGAAGAAATAACTTTATGATTTCAAACTACTTATCCCTCTTTTTTTTCTTTTAGTTTTTATACACATTAACTTTGCTATGTTGCACATCATTCATATTTCACTGTAGGATACACATTTGTGGTTCATAGTGTAGCCCCTCTTGTGAGATGTGACTCTCACATCCCCCAGGACACTTGCTACTCAAAGTGATTTCTCCCCTCTTTTGCCTGGGTTGGTCCCGGGCTCTTTACTGTGATGCCTGTTACCTCCACTGAAGGTGACTCTTCATTGTGCCCAGGGCACAAAGGGTGTTGTCTTTTGGAAAACTGACTAATGCTATACATGGGCAAGGAGTATAAAATCCACTACATAATGACAAAAGAAAGCACTTCTACAGAAACTAAAGAAATGAAACGATACACCCAGAAATAACAATACAACAAAGGGGGTCTTTATTGGAGCAGAAAAATGGCATCCAGGAAAGGAAAGCCTTGGGGTTGTGTAAACTAATTAAAGAACTAACACATTTCACATCTGCCAGCATTCACTACTCTGTGGGGTCTTGGCCTGCCTTTGGTAGCCAGTGCTAAGTTAGGTCACTGACACTCTACATCCTGATTGGCACAAGGCTGGAACTTCCTGAAACCAGGATCTACAGCACATAGCCCTTTAATTTCCTGGCTTATGAGTGGGAGTTAATCAGAGACTTCTTGAGCTGTTATACTTCTTTTTCAGCTCCTTGGCCTCCCTACAGTTCTTCCCTTTTGATGTATGTTACACTTGGGTCATTTTGTGTTATATTAAAATAAATTGTCATTTGGGGGGATAGCACAATTTTTGGGCCAAGAGCCGGGCAAAGTAGCCAAAGTCTATCCTAGGTCCAGTACTATTCAATATTTTCATTAACAGTTTGGATATTGAAATCGAGAGTTTGCTTATAAAATTTGCAGATGACACCAACCTGGGAGAAGTTGCTTGCAGTTTAGTTGACAGAATTAGAATTCAAAATGAAAATAGCAAATTGGAGAATTGCACGAAATCTGTAAGATGCAGATTAAGTGAAAAGTATGATACTTAGGAAGAAAAATGAACAAATACAAAATGGGAAATATCTGGGTAAGCGGGGGGTTGAGGAGATCACACTGAATATAAGACAGCAGTGTGAAGATATTCCAAATGTCAACTGTCATTCTGGATGTATTAAAAGGTGTATTGTATGTAAACCATATAAGGGAATTGTCCTGCTGTTTTTGACAGTGATAAGGTCTCTATTGGAGTGTTGTGTCCATTTTTGGATACCACACTTTAAAAGAGATGTAAGCCAATTGGAGAGTGCAGAGGAGATAGAAAATACGATCTATAAGGAAAGACTGAAAGAACTGGGCATGTTTGATCTAGAGAAGAGAAAGCTGAGGAGAGGATGTGATAAGTCTTCAAATATGCAAAGGACTTCACATTGAGGATGGTAATCAATTGTTTTCCATGTCCACAGAACATAGGACAAAGAATTAATCTGCTTAGTTTTCAACAATGGAGGTTCAGGTTAGATATTACAAAAAACATTCTAAATATAAGGATAGTTAAGCAGTGGAATAGACTTCTTGGGAAGTTTGTGGAATCCCCATCTTTGGAATTTTTTAAAGAACAGGTTAGATTAGAGGTTCTCAAAGTGCACTGTGTTAGAAGGGCATGGAGGAACATTCGGGGGGAGGAGTGTAGAGGGGGGTGCAGTGGAACCCTGGCCGGCCCTCATGGGGGGCAAGAAAGGAGCACCATCCAGCTACACCCCACCCCAGCTCTTTCTTGGCACTGGCTCCTGGCTCCAACCCTAACTGGGGCTCCACTCATACTAGTGGCTACACCCACCAGTTTTACTGTGTTAGAAGGGCATGGAGGAACATTCGGGGGGAGGAGTGTAGAGGGGGGTGCAGTGGAACCCTGGCCGGCCCTCATGGGGGGCAAGAAAGGAGCACCATCCAGCTACACCCCACCCCAGCTCTTTCTTGGCACTGGCTCCTGGCTCCAACCCTAACTGGGGCTCCACTCATACTAGTGGCTACACCCACCAGTTTTAACCCCCCCCCCCCCCCAGCCTTGGTCCCCAGCCAGAGCTCTGTTCCTGACCCTGGACCCAAACCTACTTTCTGCTACAGCCACAGCCTCAGCCCCTTTACCCTGTCCATATCCTCCCCCATAGAGCAGCTCTCCTGCTCCTAGTCCTGGCTACTAAGGGGGTGACATAGTCAGGGCAAAGGAAGCATGACCCTGATAGGTTTGGGGTCCACTTGGTGAGACAAACTCATGCCAGGGCTGGTCTCTGTGATGCCTCAGATGACATCACTGGATCGTCAACCAACAGAGGAGCTTCCTGAGCAGTTACAACCTCAGACTGAAGATTTATAGGCATCTCTGACTATTTTGTCCTTATTTTCAAATGAGGTAGTGATCCCCTGTATTTTACCTCATCTGGATAACTACATGAACTTCCAAGAACTGCTAAAGCTGATAGCTGAGACCTTCCAAATTCCATTAGAAGAGATACAGGAGTCTCCACAGAAATTGCTGCACATTCTTCAAACCATAATGTTGAAGTTTGTGGCACTTCCATTAAAGAGACTTCATTGGACCATGTCAGAAAGATTTGGCAAACCCTTATATTGATCACTTTCACCTCAAAGAAAAGTGACAAAAGGTATCACAGGCCGCCTGTTGAGAGCAGAATACCTGTACACAAATCCAGTGCTTGTCTTTTGGGTGGCGTGGCAGAAAATGAGAAACAGAGAAGGCCAACCAAGAATGAATGCTTATGAAAAAGAAGCAAAATGACTAGATTTAATTGCGGCGAGGAGTCCTGTGGCACCTTATAAACTAGCTAGATTTAATTGGTCATTAGTGTTACTCATCTGCCAGTTTAAAATTCAAAATTTCAAAGTGTCAGAAATCATTAGCATATTATGCTCTTCTAAACTAAAATAAATATATGGATTTTGTTGATAAACTGCAAAAATAAATTAGGGAGGTATTTAAATTTTTATTTTTGGAAGGATAGCCAATTGCTAGAATGTCTGTACAGGCATCTGTGGAAATTGCTAAGTCGGCTTCATGACCTATGGCAGCATAACAGAATATCTTCCATTTGCAGTTCAGACCTTTTCAATGTTAAAACCAACCATACGCTCCAAAAATTGAAATGTCCCTAAACCACACTTTGCATTCTCGTAGTTTATTCATCTGCAACTACACCCACTGATGGGGTGGGGTAAAAGGGGCAACTGTCCTGAGGCCTGGTGATTCAAAAGGGGCTGGGACTCCCATCAGTCATTGCTGATGGGTTGGTGTGGGGAAGAGGGAGTGCGGTAAGGCATGCTCCTGCAGTGCTGAGGTCTTGCTCCCCTCAGCCCCGTCCCTTACAGAAGTGTGGAGCCAGCCCCTCTATGCCTTGAATTGGGGCCTGGCAGATCTGTCAGCTTCTCTGTCTGCAACCAAAAGAAAACAAAGGAGACTTTGTAGCTATTCTAAACAGAGAACATTACATGCATTTTCTGTCACAAGAGAAAAACTCCATAAAAAGAGGAAGTGTTTCCAAAGAGAAGAGTGTCTGCATCAGTCACCTTTCTGTTCTACCCTGAATCTACAAACAAGCAACTGTTTTGTCAGGTTGGTCAAGATTTGCACCACAACCATATTGATAGCTGTAGACTCCTTTCCCCTTCCATTTGGGAACCGTTTACACCCTTCCCAAAGTGGTAGGATTCTCTAACACAATGCTGGAGTCTGAAGATTGTCATACAATCCCATTCTGCAGGTGCCTCTCAGCTCCTTCTCGTGCCTTTTAGGGACCTCTCTCATGAGAGACTATTATAGCAGGAACTAAAAACCCTTCTGTCTTTTTGAGTAGTAGAAGAAGAAAAGTTTCTGCTCCAATTAGTACCTCAAACTTACCTCCACAGGTAAATAAAGTGTCTGGCATCCCACCAGGGTTAACCCTGGCAAACTGTGTCCAGCCCATGGGCCACTTGTTGCTCATTGTTGATCCAGGACGTACATGTTAAAATTAGTCTGAGTGTATTATGCCTTCATTTTTCTTGTAGAAAATTATTTCAAGAAGAATGACACTACAGATTTCTTATTGTGTGGCAACAGCTCAGATGCTGGGTAAGTGCAGTTAACCTTTCTTTGTCCTGACCTTTTAAATTTGTTTCAGTTATTTTTTGGTTTATCTCAGCCCATCAGTGACTAACATGAAAGGCAAATCTCACATACCTAAAGACAATAATAACGGGATCAAGAATAATTAAAATATAACAAATAATAAGAGAGTTTAATGAATGACAGAGGATAGAGTTTGAACCCATGATTTCCTTACTAGGAAATTCTTCCTAGGCCTTTTGGCATGTTTTCTTTCAATTACTTTAACTTTATTCTCAGAAATGTATTTAATATGCTTCCATTTAGTGAATTAAATTTAAAAAAAATGAGGTGGAGAAGGAAGTAGAGTCAGAGTAATCTGCAAGTGGGCCACAAGACATTTTGCTGATGTAAGCTGCTCGTAGGCATGGCCACCACAGCTCCAAGTGGCCTTGGTTCACAATTCTCAGCCAATGAAAGCCGTGGGAAGCAGTGGCCAGCATGTGCCTTTGGCCCGCTCTGTTTCCAGCTGCTCCCATTTGCCAGGAATAGCAAACTGCAGCCACTCGGAGCTGATGGTGGGGACATGCCTACAGAAAGTCTCACAGCCCACCTGCAGATTACCCAGAGAGGCTGAATATTGCCCACCACTGTTCTTATAATCAGACAGAGTATTGTTAGAATTACTGTTAAACTGGACACTCTGACATGTACAGTTGCAACCCTTCCACTTAAAAAAACCTTTAGAATTAGCAATCGTTTCATTAACAGTTAGCAAAATCACAAACACTCTGCTGAGCAAGATAGAGAGAGATAATACAAAATGAGATCTGAGCATCCATAAATTCATACCATCCTTTGCAAAAGCACCTGATTTTAGTCATTCTCATCATGATTGTCATCCTGACATCTCCCAAGGTATGCAGACTAGGAAACAGCTTTTATAATGTGCTACATTGACGCCACTATGCCTTATGCATATTCAGACAGCCTCTTTCCTGAGGGACAGTAGGTCAGAGTCCAGAGATAACCTCAGTTCACAGTGTAAAAGGCAGAGATAGGTCCTCTAAACAGTTACTCTACTACCAGTTCTCCAAATGATTTCAATCAAACTATGGATACGTGTAACTGCAGAACTGAGGCTTAAGAGAAAGTACACTGAAAGAAGCAAAGGAAGTGTTAATTTACAATGTGAAATATTATTTTGTATATAGATAATATTAACATATATCATAGGGCATGTGTTTTTGTATTGCTCTCTCAACCCTTCTACCGTATGTCCGTCTTTCCCACCAAAATATTGTAGAGGTGTGGAAGACTTTTGCTTAGCATGAGTTAGTGTTTGCAGATCTCATGGAAGAAGTGAGTTCCTATGTTTGAGTTGTAATATAACTGAAGGTATAATTTGAGTTTTCACAAAAACTGAAACTATTTGCCTTTAAAGTTGAACATTTAAAGCGTTCATCGCTTTTTATTAAACATCTTTAGCTCCTGTCCAGATAAATATGTGTGTCTCAAAGTTGGGGAAAATCCAGATAATGGCTACACCAGTTTTGATACGTTTGGCTGGGCCTTTCTTTCTTTGTTCCGCCTGATGACACAAGATTATTGGGAGCGTCTGTATCAACAGGTATCATATTTACTTAATTCAAATATTAAATAAAACAGTAATGTAGCTGGATAATGTGTAAAGAAAAAAGAGATAAGGAGGTTTAAAATGTACTGACGGGTGCAAGTCACAGAATAAGTGGATTATCTTGTGCACATCCCATTAGCTGGGAGTACTGCAGCTAATTCACTATCTAAGTTTCTGATTGTTTTAATTAAGAATATTGACAATGAAATTGAACATCATGGCAAACACTTAATAGCTTGTGTGTGATGGGTCAATAATTGCAAAGCAGAAGATTTTATTAGACTGAAGGAAAGATTCTAAACAGGGTACATATCCCCTAAAAGGGGGACCACAAGGAACTGGAAGTGATAACATAACACAGAACTTTTCACCTCTTAGTCTGACTGACACACTCTTCCTATTTGATGGCTGTTTGGCAAGGGCATAGGCTCTTTGTTCCATGGTGTTTGCCAGACTTTCTGTGAGGGGGCAACATAATGCTTCCTCATTCCTTTAAACTAACCCGAATGTTCTAGGGTATGCAGTGTAACCGAAGGGGTTTGAAATGTCACTGTGCACTGATTCAGTAGCACAACAGAGCCTCCCCCGCAGAAGTGCAGCTCCCTTTCTGTTGAGCTGAGCTGAGCTGAGTACTGTCCACCATCAGGAAGGTCATTGAAGCTCATTAAGGGGGTATAGGAAGTGGGAAAGGAAGCACATAGGCTGTGTGGATTTAAAGGGGTTTTTTTAAGTATTTTTAAATACACCTTAAAATAATATTTACTACTTTCATATAGTGCTTTACATCTCCAATGTACTTTATAAGCATTAACTAATCTAATTAAATGAGAAGTGTCATTTCAGACTCCTTACTTTAGTGCGTTCTTTATGCTTACAGACACTCAGAGCTTCTGGGAAGATCTACATTCTCTTTTTTATGCTGGTCATCTTTGTGGGCTCATTTTATCTGGTCAACTTGATCCTGGCTGTAGTGACCATGGCATATGAAGAGCAGAACAAAGCTACTATTGCTGAAACTGAGGCAAAGGAAAAGAAGTTTCGGGAAGCCATGGAACTGCTGAAAAAAGAGAAAGAGGTCCATGAACTATTCCCTTGTTAATGTTCGGCACTTTCCACTTGCAATATGTAATATCTGTAGTGTAATTTATCAGTCTTCCATTATCTTTGAGTGTGTATATACAATGACCCTATGGTCACTGATGAGATCAGGTACTGGCTATTATCTTATTCAGAGTTATCACACTGTTTTCTAGAGCAAATATAAATGGTTCCTCATTTGTTGGTAAATACTAAGTGTGAGTAGTGAACAGAGAAATGCAATATTAGTTCATGGTACTGTAAGCAAAATAATATTATAAAAGCTGACAGGGCTAACATTCCATCAGCCTAAAGTTTCAATAGGGACACATGAATATTTGTTTTACTCTTAGGCTGTGTCTAAACTGGCAAGTTTTCCCGCAAAAGCACCTGCTTTTGCGGAAAAACTTGCCAGCTGTCTACACTGGCTGCTTGAATTTCCGCAAGAACACTGACTTCCTACTGTCTGAAATCAGTGCTTTTTGCGGAAATACTGTGCTGCTCCCGTTTGGGCAAAAGTCCTTTTGCGCAAAGCTTTTGCGCAAAAGGGCCAGTGTAGACAGCTCAGATTTGTTTTGCACAAAAAAGCCCCGATCACGAAAATGGCGATTGGGGCTTTTTTGCACAAAAGCGCGTCTAGATTGGCACAGACGCTTTTCCGCAAAAAGTGCTTTTGCGGAAAAGCGTCCGTGACAATCTAGACGCTCTTTTCCGCAAATGCTTTTAATGGAAAACTTTTCCGTTAAAAGCATTTGCAGAAAATCATGCCAGTCTAGACTTAGCCTTTGTCTTTTGGCCTATTTGTGTGGGTAGACTAGGTATTGAAACATACAACAACTCTTTTCTTTGACTCCTTTAGAGTTTGATCTAAAGCCAAGTGGAGTCAATTAAAAGACTCCAATTGACTTCAATGGATCAAGTTCCTAGAGAGCGGAGGGATGGGGAATTGAATATCTGAAATACCACTAAAAACACAGATGGGAGCAATGACCACATACTACTGTGTGACTGTAGTCCTGAAGATAGCCCACAAAGCAACTGTGATTCTCAGTGTTTAAGTCTCCATTTTGGGAAATGGATAGATGTGCTACTATTTGAATTTTAAACTGATTCTGCACAGTCTGTAATATACACATAGAAAGATAGGAGTTAAGTGATATGAATGATCCAAAGTTTTATATTTTGTCTCTGACAGAAGGAACATATATTATCACAGAAACACTGCATGTAACCAATTGTTCAATGTTCTATATGGAGTGGGAAATCCTAATATCTTCAATGATCAGCTTGCATTAGAAGCATGAAGTTAGTATTTTAACAATCAATATGAAATGATCATTCTTAACAAGAATTCTAGAGCACAGCAGTACTTTCCATTAGGATGTGTTTACACAACAAGGGTATTTTAATTTGAATGGCTCTGGTGAGGAGCTATTTCGAAATAGCAGCAGTTGTGCATCCAGACACACCCTATTTTGAAACAGGCATCATTCCTCATGAAATGAGGGTTTATTGTTCTGGAATAAGAAGCCTGTTATTTCAAAATAATTTTAAAATAATGGGTTTGCTGTGTGGATACTTACCTTGTTGTTTCAAAATAATGTGCGCTATTTCAAAATAATGCTGTAGTGTAGATGTGCCCTTACTGAGGGTATGTCTACACTACCACCCTAGCTCGAACTAGGCTGGTTAATGTAGTCATTCGAAGTTGCAAATGAAGCCCGGGATTTAAATATCATCTTCATTTGCATCTTGCTGGGCGCCGGCATTTTTAAATCCCCGTTAGTGCGGACTCCATTAGGCTTTCTAGATCCACGAGGAGTAACGGTAGTTCAAATTAGAAAGCCTAATTCGAACTACCTACTCCATGTCGCGTGTAGCCGCGGGCATGGAGTCCGCACTAACGGGGATTTAAAAATGCCGGCGCCCAGCAAGATGCAAATGAAGATGATATTTAAATCCCGGGCTTCATTTGCAACTTCGAATGACTACATTAACCACCCTAGTTCGAACTAGGGTGTAGTGTAGAAATACCCTGATATCCTAATTCTGTATCTAGAGTAACGGCTATGTTTTTTGTGTGCTTACTTTTAGGCATTGGCTGCTAAACGAAATGATACCATGTCACTTTGCTCCTTTGAAATGTCACCTTTATCCTCCAAAGAAGTTAAAGACAGAAGCAATAGGAGACATAAAAATAAGTCCTTAGGGATAGAAGATTATAGAGAAGAACAAAAAGGTCCCAGTTCACAGTCCAGCGGCAGTCAACAAAACTTGGTAATTATTTATCTAAATCTGCAATCCTTATAGTGTCAGTTTTAGAACAGAAATTGTTAAAAAGCACAAACAAAACCCATTAAGAAATAGAATATTGTATTAATAGATACAAGCTAGCATCTGTTTCTTTGGTTTTTAAAACAAAATCTCCTTTCAGCTGAGAGAGGAGACAACATTTCAATGCAAAAGGAAAACTTTTGAGAAAGTTCCATATAAATGAATGCCAAGATATAAGAGTGAGGTGTCAACATGCATTGAAGCATTTTGCTATAACAAAAATATTTTCATGAGCATTTGGAATATGTGTAGATTAAAATATGTTAACATCCCGTGTAATATTGGAAAATTTTAAAAACTACATTGGAACTGGAACTTAATTAACATTCCATAACAGACTTTTGCACCAGTGCAGCTAAGCTGCGTCTGGTGAAGATGCTATGTGTTGATGGGAGAGGGCTCTCCTGTCAGCATAATTACTCCACCTTTCTGAGGAATCTCTGAATAACTTTTAATATTGGACTTACAGACCTTATGTGACTGATTGAGGTACAGGTTGGACCTCCCTTGGTCCAGCACCCTTGAGACTCGAGTGGTTCTGAACCAGAGAGTTTGCTGGACCAGGAAGGTCAATGGTCCTCCACTGGCTGCTGGCCCTGCTCCCAGAATCCCCTCTGGGCCCTGGCACCACTCCTGGCTGCCAGTCCTGGCCACTGGCCTCTCCTCCTGGTACATCAGGGCTCCCAGCCATTGGTCTCCCTGCCACTGGGGCTGCAGCTTCCCAGCCCTGGCCACTGTAGCTTCCTGACTGCTGCTGGCGCTTCCTATCACTAACCTGTCTGGGACATCCCAGCTGTCAGTCCTGCTCCAGGGGCTTTCCAGCCTTGGACTTTCCAGCCACTTCTGTCCCCTCTTCTTCCAGCACAGCTTGGGCCTCCCAGCTGCCAGACTCCCAGCTGGCCCCTACTCCCAGCTGGCCCCTGCTCCCAGCTGCAAAGGCTCTGCGCCAGCAACATCCAACTCCAAACTAGAGCTGGCCAAAATTTTAGACAATGTGAAAATAAATATTTCAAAATTTGGTTTGATGTGAACCAAACTTATTTTTCAAAATTTCCCATACATTGGAAATTGTCAAATTCTTGCTTCGGAAATACTGACACTTGGTATTTTCAAAATGACAGATATGTCCTGGCATGATACATGTAAATTTCAGTCTGCAGTTGCCAGGGTTCCACAGTCAGTGTTCCCTTTAAGCTGAGTAATTGGGTGGCTGCCCAGGAGAGATTCAAATGCTGCCCAGCTGATTAGCAGAGCACCCATGACTGGAAGCAGCTGGCAGCATGTGTTTGTAATGGTGGTGCACATCTGCACATGCCTTGGTGCATATAGCAAAATGTATTCTGCACATGGATGGAAAAAATTAGAGGGAACACTGTCCTTAGTTCATGTGAACTGATCCAGCCAGGGACATCAAGGCTTCTAGACTTCTAGACTGTCTGACTCTCAGGGATGATAGCACACTAAGTTTTTGGATTTGTACAGCCTGTTGGCTAGTTGGTACAGGACTCTAGAAGCCCTGAGGTCCTTCCAGGGCAGTTGAGAAGGTGAGGCTTTCCAAGAGCTGCAGAATGTGGAAGTCTAGCACCTTTGGCCCTGGGACAGTGCACATATTGCAGCTGCTCAGAACTATGGACACCAAAACCCTGGAGTCCCGGTAGTCCACTGGACAAGCTGGCAGGAACCTGGCAGGGGTCCGTTAAAAGCTTCTCTGTGGTTCATTGAGCCATACAAGTTTCATCAATATATTTCAGGTTTGATAAATTGGCATTTTCTAGGTAAACCCAGTTTTGTCAGAAATTTCCCATTGTAAACAAACACAGAATGTCAAGTGGAACAGCATAGATGGTTACAGTGGTATGTCAGCATTCATTTTAGTTTCCCTGTGTAATTCTTATTTCACTTTGTATTGTTTTCTGTTTCTGATGTTGCTCACTTCTTTAAACAGACCCCTGTATATGATGAAATGAGCAAGAAACATTTGCCCCATTATCTGTTAGTGGATTCTTATAATGAGCCACATCAAAGAAAAAGGGCAACTGAGACAGTTAATACCATTACCTGTGTGCTGGATGGTAAGTCATTTCTCATTATTTTTTAATTCAGACCTAAGCATATGTTGATGTGAAAGATCAAAATCTTTAAAAGGGGTGGGGGGAGCTAATAGGGTCTATTGCAAATGCTTCAGTTAGCTAATGCCAGAATTATTATTGCCTGCACATCTTTAATTTGGCTCCCTGTGAATATGTATTATCATCTTACACCTGCCTTTCTAGAGGGGATCTATCTTTAGACAGGATAAAAAAGAGGAGCCAGGGAATTATGGTCCTGTCAGCCTCACTTGGATATCTGGAAAAATACTGAAACAAATTGTAAACCAATTTATAAGCAGTGTGACAGACCCAGACCAGCTGGCTGCCCCACACTAATGGAGGGAAGACATCCTGGGGCTTGGGTGAATAGCTTTCTCTTCCCTCAATAGGCTTGGCCCTATTTAGTGTAGCATAATCAATCAGTCATCTGGGGTCAATTAAAACTTGCTGAAAGCCTCAGGCTAATTAGGTACCTGCAGCCAATTAAGGCACATGGAGCTGCTTGAAACGGTAAGGAAGGGGAAAGGAAAAGAGTGAAGGAATGGAAGGAGGAAGTGCTGTGTGGGTGTGAGCTGAGAACTGATGAGCAGGCCAGGTACCAAAGGAAAGGGACTGGGAGGATTGTTTGGGGAAGTGGCCCAGGGGAAAGCTGCCAGATTGAGAGAGCTACCATAATTCCATCCTTAGATACAAGAGACTGATTCGTTGTCCTCAGTCTTCAGGATGCCTATTTCCATGTAGCCATCCACCCCTTCCACAACCACTGCCTAAGATTAATGATGGGGCACACCACTCTCAATAGTGTGTTCTCCCCTTCAGACTCCTCAAGTCTTCAAGCGTGTGCGTAAAGATTCTCTCAGTGTTAGTCGCTCACCTCCATCAGTGGGAAATATCAGTGTTCCCATATTTGGACACTGGCTTTGCAAAGGCTGGTTGGCAAAAGGTCCGGTTAGCAATATTTAGAGGATTAATACTATTTCAATTTCTGGGCCTCCACATCAACCACAAAAGTCCATGCTAAACCCAGTACAGAGAATAAACTTCCTAATAGCTATTCTAGATTTCACAAGCTTGAGTTTACCTACTAGAAGACGGATTCTCCATCCTATCAACTTTACAGTGCAGAACAACAGGGACGACCTGTCCACAAGTCTTGAGACATATATTGGCCTCTACCGATGTGACTCCCCATGACAGTGTGTACCTTAGGTGCCTCCAGACATGGGTAAGAACAGTGTATGCCCCCCAAAAGACAGTGTCCAAATGTGTCATGGTGCCTTGGAAGATGTTGGATTCTCATATATGGTAGAAGGAGTCAAGGAGAGTCTGCATTGGATCCCCATTCTTGCATCCAGCACTCTCAAAGATCCTCACAACAGACGCGTCTCTGAAAGCATAGGGGCTCACCTACAGGAGAGGACAGCACAGAGGAAATGGTTGGCACAGAAACTGGCACTCTATATCAATATCCTGCACTAAAGCAGGGCAAGATGTTGGGCAATGTTTAGTTCACTCCATACAAACTCACTCCAAGTAATGCTGGACAACAGGGCACTGACACTGGGCAGAACAAGATCCCAATCCTTATGTGAAGGGCTGTAATGGCTGTGGAGCTGGTGCATTTCTACCATCGGATAGAAATATCAGCAGTCTATCTAGCAGGCCTCCAGAATGCAAGTGCAGACCCCCTGAGCAAATACTTCTGACAGGAGCACAAATGAGAGCTCAAAGACTCTGTCTTCCATGTATCTGCCAGAACTGGGATATACCTTTTTGGCACCATGAATGAGCCAAAATCCCATTAGTTCTACTCCCAAGGAGAGTATGGCCCCAACACTCTGGTAGATAATCCCATGGCCCTGTATCTTCCTCCTTTAGGTTTACTGTCCTATACCAATAATCCTCAAGATTCTTCTCCAGCTGCACCATATGGAAAAACCACACTGTTCTTTTTTCATCTCTCAATGAGATCCTCTTAGATAGCAGTTACCTTACTTCCAGTTTTAATAGCTCTGTCCAAATCTAATGGCAGCTTGGAGCTTAATAAATGTTGCCTATGTGTTTGTATTGAGTTTTACCTGTGGTCGTTTAAATGAACCTGAAACTTTTCCAAAATACAGGAATGATTGCATGTGCATGTGAATTAGACCTAACCAATATGCAATTATAGTACTGTTTCATTTAGACACAATCACTGAGCTGTTTATTTCATTTGGCATGGTTATTAGTGATATTGCACACAAAATGCAAGTTGGGGGAGAGAGCACAAAAGTAGTTGTAGTGTACAGGCAGTCCCCAGGTTACGTACAAGAGAGGGACTGTAGGTTTGTTCTTACGTTGAATCTGTATGTAAGTCGGAACTGGCGTCCAGATTCAGCCGCTGCTGAAACTGATCAGCGGCTGATTCCAGGAAGCCCGGGGCAGA